AATCGAAAGGGTTTGTTTGAAAATTAATAATAATCATTAAGTCAGTGTGAATCAGTGATGTGTCGAGCCGGAACGTACCGAAACGTCGTTCCGGCAAATCATTTTTGGGCTGAAACGCTTTCGACAAAAAAAAATGCTACATATAGAAACCGAATTTTATAAATTATAATTTAACTAATTTATTATTAAAACGTTCCTATTATTGTAATAAACATACATATATGTGCACAAAATGTGTTTAGTAATGAGATTTTGTTTCTTCCTTTTCGAACGGAACCGGAACAAACATGAGAACCGTTTTTTTTTAATTTTAGCGTTTCAGCAAAATAAATATTAGCACAACACCACTGGTGTGAATAATAAATATTTTAATTATTACTTGGTTGAACAAACATAATTACATTGAACAATATAAATAACTTAGAACATTTTCGACCGATTTTAATAACACATTCTACTTCAATATAGAAAAATAATAGCGTTTTTTTTTTAATTTTATTCGAAAGAAAGCTTGATTTTTTGCTGTAACTTACTCTGTGATTGCACTTTTCACAGTTAACTGCTTAATATATAATATGTTATTCGTAAATTTCCAGATAATTTAAAGTGCCTCCTGTCGGTGTGATATTCTGAAAGAGTTGCGCAGCTCCCTCAGTTCAGTTTAACAATTGAATTATTGGCGATTCTATTGAGGTAAATTTTTATCTTCTTTACTTCATTATAATAAATATACTTACTTTAGATAAAGGATAAGAAACTGTGATATAACTTACATACGTTAATTAACTATCTGAAAATTTAATCTGATTAAGGAGATTTTTTCTCTGTGATTTTATGTGACTTGTGCTATGTCCAAAACTATTTTAAAATTTTGATGATAAATATTATGAAATTGTTAATGAAAGTTCCAAATACTTCAGGTTTGGGTACGTGTGAAAAACAATAATACATTCATAGAATCTGTGGATGCTTCGATTCTAGTCGGTGATTCATTTAACAATGTACTTTTATATGAGGCTAAAATGTGAGTAAATATTTATTTATAATATAATTTTCATTATATTTACTGCCATTGATACAGTATATTTTATTAGTGATAGACATATTGCGCCAGGTTAAATGGTCCCAAATAGTTTCCTTGAAATCATTACAAGACTGTATTATCACTGCCAGAATCATCAGTAAAACTTGGGTAAGATTCCGGACCTAGTTTGATAATCGTTTATAT